TGTGTGTGTGTGTGTGTGTGTGTGCGTGTGTGTGACAAACACACGTCTGTCACAGAGACACAGGTGCACACAAATTGCCCTGCTCCTCAACTCATTGTGTTCTCTGCAGCCCAAATACCATTTTTTTTTTTTTTTTTTTTTTTTAATTAAGTTCAATTAACAGGTCCTTATGGTCCTGGCTCCTTATCCATTCTGGGGAGCGTCAGTCCGGTTCCTTTCCACCGGCAAGTCAAAAGTTGGAATACATGGTGAACACTCTCACGCTTCCTTCCGTCTGGCCGAAGGAACCCTGACCAGCATTGATTACTCCATATCTGGACGAGACTGTCAGCTTGCCCTTCCACTTTTCCTCTCAGACTCTATTTGGACTCTGTCAGATGATTCGTGTAAAGCAAGAAAAGAGGAGAGTCGTCTATACTGTTGAGATTATCATCTCAGTTGCCCCTCACTGGGTCCCCGTCCTTGTAGGAGTTGTGCTGTGCCATTTCTTCCAGATCAATCTGTTATCTGTCACCGTTGCAATCTTTCCCTGTAAAAGCCATTTTCTCATGAAGACCCGTCTCTTGATGGCTATCCTTTCTGGTCTGCCTTTCGTTGTTGATGTCACCTCCCTCCATCTGGATCGAATCTCAGTTTCCGCCATTCTCAGCATTAGAACCCACATTTCTTCTCTTGCCACCTCGGTTCCCTCGATAGTCTTGGTGCATCTCCTTTTCCAGATTACCCACAGAGCTAGTTTCCTGAGCATGTGGAACCAGACTGCTTTTCCTCCTCTGAGACTGACGCGGATGTTAGAAAGAAGTAGGATGTTCTGGGGGGTGAGGTTGGGGGGTGAGGTTGGGGGGAGAGGATGAGAAAAGATGGTGCCATAGGTTTCGGACTTTGTTCCATATCCAGGCTGCCTGGCTACAGTATAGGAGGCAGTGGGGGATGTCTTCAGGGGCGATGTAATCACACATTGCGCATACTTCCGAGCTGTTGGGGTCTGAGTGTTTTCTTCTTTTGTGGAGCCACTGATTGACAGGGAGTGCTGCGTGGGCTAGGAGCCATTGTAAGCTTCGGATTCTAACTGGTTTTATGAGGAGGTATTTTGGCCAGGGGATGGTGATTGAGGCTGTTGGCTCTAGGTTTAGTGTCTCTCTCCATCTGTTTTCGAGTTTGGGGTTGGGGTCCGTGGTCCGTAGGCCTAGATTGTACCCGAATTTCACATCGTATTCCAGTATCGTTCTGAACCGGTATGCTCTGTTCGGCGGGGTTTGGGATACGAGTATGCCCCAGCCCCCTGGTTTCCAGGAGAAGTCTTCTTTAAAGAGGCGAATCCAGTGGGGTGGGATGCTTTTCTGGACTGTGCGTAGGTTTTCTGCGAGAGCATGGCAGCCTCTTAGAGTGTTTCGGAGTTCTTGTTCCGTACGCCATTCTCCCCGTTCTTCTGCCCACAGGTGTTTAACCTGACACACCCCTTTTTCAACCCACGACAGCCATCTCCGGKCCCTATTTCTTAGTGGCCAGGGGTTGCCTTCGGGGTCTTTGATCCAATCGTTACAAAACAGCGGTTGTCTCAGGGCCTCCTCTTTGATTTCCACTG